TAGCCAGCATCCAATAAGGCCAGGTTGCTGATAAAGAAGTACATAGGGGTGTGAAGCTGGCTCTAAATACTGATTAACATAATTCTAAAGTATCCCAGCAAGATGAGCATGCAGACAATGAGTAAGACCACAAAGAGGATGATTTACAACTTTGGGTTGTCTGTGGATCTCAAGAAGATAAATTCTGCCACTGCAGTGTGATTTCTACCAGTCATTTTTCCCCAACATGCTTTTTCTGAAGATGAGAAAGTGAGACTTGCACTGAAAGATGAGATAAATAAGTTCTGAGTATCAACACCTGCAAGGAACTCTGACTCTCACCTTAAATTCAGTATAAATTCAAATATGCAGCTTTCTACAACTCTCATATATGCTATATTTCTCCCTGTTCCATCCTCTAGTGGCTGTTTCAAACAGATGTTTATCATTGTATATAACTCATGAAACTATTCCTTTAGTTCAGTTAGGAAAGGTTCCTGCTCAAAATTCAAGTTCAGTCCATCCTGCCTCCCCCTGATTGCTCTGCATAACAATGGTATTTTTAGGGCTAGAATCTAATAAAATGAGCCACATCGGTTAGCACCATTCCTGAAAAATGGGTCTATGTACAGCAGAATACTATGTAGTGTGAGAAACAAAGTGATACTCAAAATCCATGCATTTATCATGGCTTCTAAATAGCTATTTTCTTGTTTTTAGTTCTTTCCCCCCCCCCCTCCCCCCTCCCCAGTTACTAATAAAGAAAGGGGTTGAGATGCCAAATTATAGGTAGGAGATGTTTACTGAACATACCAAGAGTCTAAGGTAATTTGTTAAATCTTTAGAGTTTGTGTGAAAACAATCTGATCTCCCCTCTTAACTCTATGGATACACACCTTTAAAACCAAGAAGCACAACATGAAGTACAACATAACTTTTAAAGGTTTGGGACTGAAGATATTGGAAGACTGTCACAGCCTGTACTGTGCATATCCTGCACAATCTGCCATGCTGCTGCTGCTCAGCTTGGGCATTCGTCCTTGTCTGGTGTTCCACATGAGGATACAAAAGACAGAAGGCAGATATTTCATTCTCTTTTACATAAAAATCCTTTAATGATTTTATTCACCCTTTTATTTTTTTCTCATTAGTAAAACCATGAGTGAGTTACATTTCTAGAAATCTAAGCATTTACAGTGCTTCCCCGCCCCCGCCAGGCTGGAGGACATTCAGCAGACAGGGGACCCTCAACACCATTTGGGCACTGACCCTACAGTTTGTAGCAGTCACCCCTGCACAGCAGGGACAATTAACGGAGGATCTTTTTTTTTTTTTTAATGAGAAAAAGACATGTAACTGAAGCACAATTTTAATGTTGAATTACAGTTTAGAAATTCATACAGGTCCGGAATTTATGTCTTTTCTTTCTACACCCACCAGATGCAGACACTGAGCAGGCCGGTGACCCCACCCACTTTGTTTTACATTCACATTTGCATCAATTAATAGCTTTTAGTTAGTCACAACTAGCATGAACTAATTAGAATATTTTAACTAGAGCAAAAAAGACTTACTTTTCTAATTTTGTTCAAGGTTTTGTTTTTGTGTGGTTTGTGTTTTTGCCTTTGTGTTTCATGAAACTAGCCAATTGATTCACTAGCACCTTGACACTGGCAGTATTTCTCCTTGAATCTTTATATTTGCTTTTGTCTTCATGTTATATTGTGTTTATGTTTTTTGCGTTTTTGTGGACGTGCTTTTTGTGTGTTTGTTCTCATTCTTTCTGTGCTTGTGTTTCTGTGTTTTCAATTTTTTCCTTGCTTGTGTCTGTGTGATTGTATGCTTTGTGAATGTTTATGCTTGTATGCTTATTTATAGCAGTAGTCGCTTCATCAGAATGTATGGGGACATGTAGTGCTTATACAGAGAGAGAAAAATGGAGGACCAAGTTAATACCTGCCCAACCCTCATACACAGTTTGTTGTACTGCCCCTGCAGTAGTGGTGATGCACATGCCACCACCACCACCATCTCCGGCCTATGTGCTCCCCCTCCAATCCACAGCCCTGCGCCCAGCCCCCTGCTCGAAACTGGGCAGTGCAACATCAGGAGAAGCAAATAGATGGTACCAGACAATGGGGAGGAGGGAGGGCCTTTGCTTACCACTCCAGATGCTAAGACCCACTGGGCAGTAGGGAAGAGGGAGGGCCATCACCCACCATTCCAACTTGAGCAAGCTGACCAGACCAGAGGTGATTGCACTCCACAAGCTACAAAATAATGCAATCATTACTATGACACGGTGGCTAGAGCAGACAGCAAGGGAGGGAGGCCGACAAAGGCAGCCACCTGAGATATTATTATTATTATTATTATTATTATTGATTCCCATTAGGAAAAGACATCACCCCAATACCAATACTTCATTCTAATTCTATTGCTGTACCTGCAGGACAAAATGTACAGAGTGCTCAACAGTCAGCTTTTTGTCACCAGGCACCCTTAAATGACTTTGTGCTCTTTTGTATCTTGAGAGTACACTGAGCTCAAGAAGTGAAATAGAGGCAGGTGTCTGGATGCTTTATACCAGTAGAGCATGCAACAATCAGATATTGGAGAGTACACATCAGTCATATACTACAGAAAATACAATGAAGTTAAAAAAAAACTTTAATTAAAACAAAGGAACATTGCAATCAGCATCTTTCAAAAAAGTTAATGAAGCACATTTGACTAAGTAGCTGCTTGGATTGCCTGAACATTTGTCATTTTTCAGCATTTTAAAATCTTGCACAGTGTAGACCAGGGACTGAACACTAGTCAGCCCTGGAAGTAGGACACACAGAGCATGCTTCACAGACAGTTCTTACGCTGACCAGAGACAAAATCATTCTAGTTATTGATAAATACTAGTATGTTAATATTAAAATGACATATACATTTTACAAATTTAAAATTATTACTTCATGTGCATGTTTATTTGCTGAAATAGTCACACAATATGGGCCCTTTTATGTCTGTTTTGAAACGATGTACATTGGGGCAGAGAGGGGAGTACTTTTTAAATACACTGTTTACTACCATTAGCACTAATCATCATGTTCAATTTTTTTAAGAGTATTATGAATCTAAAGATAATACTTATTTCAGTCTTGGAGGCAGACAGGGATACCAGTAGCGATTAGCACCTGCCAGTGAGACACTGCCAGCATTGCCAGTTGAGACAATGCAACTGTGTAGAAGGAAGTTGTGTCAGGCATTGTTCTCAGGCTTTGTAAGTTGTCTGCGTGCTTCTCTTCTGTGGTGGCTGTGGCTGTTGTCACCAAGGGGAATGGCAGCCAGCATATCAATTGGAGATGAAAGGTCAAGAAGGAATTGCGGGGGAAGGGAGAGCAGACAGAGCAGAGGAATTTGTATTCAAAAACCAACATGAAGTGCCTCCTGCCCTGCACTTATGTATACTGTTCACCGACTAGCAAAGAGAGCCGACTAGCTGTGAAGGAAGCCATAGCAAGCAAGGTGGTGCTGAGTGGGTGGCCACAGCCCAGCCTGGGGGTGGGGGAGGAGGGCAACTCACGCTCCTGTATAAAGGTGCTGGTTGTGGAGGATGCCATGATGACCTCTTTCAACTCCCACATCAGTTCTCATTCTGCACTTGAATGCTGCACTGCATCCAACTTCAGCGTGCACTCTTCTTGACCACTGCACCCACATTCCTGTGCCCCTCAGGGGCATATCTCCCCAGTGGGCTGAGTCCTTCTCCTCTAGTGTGCTGTTATCTCTCATCCACCTCAAACCTCTCTCATCAATACAGTGTATGCACACCCTGACCACTGCTCTCACAATTAATAGGGCTTGAGAGGTGCAGGAACCTCCTCCCACCACCATTCCTCATTTTGGTATAAAAAAACTCCAGACAGGATGGTGCTGGGCTGGAAAAGAGTGTGAAAACCCTGTCCAAAAAGAGTGCCAAAACACTGTGCAAAAAAATGTTGGAAAACACTTTGCAGGCGGCAGCACCTTTGGGTAGCTTTGCAAAGTGTGTGGGTGATATGGGGGAAGGGAGCTGCAATGCTTGATGCCAATGTCCAGGGATGCTGGCAAGTCAGACTTGTCAGGGGAGAGGCTGCCAGCCCCTTTTTTTACCTTTCCACGAAAGATTTCCCACCCCTCCTCAACCCATGCCTCATGCAACAAGCACCCAGAAAAAGCAGCTGGAATAACTGTGGGAAAAGACTTGGCAGGGGCTTTGAAAAGTGGGTGATGCGGAAAAAGGGAGCTGCAAGGCTTTTGATATCTCCACACCTTCCCTCCCGCCACAACACCACCACTGGTGATGGTCTGAGCCAATGCTTAGGTTTTGTTGTTGGCACACACACCAACCAACCAACCACCCCTAAGTACTGTGAGCAGAGATTTTGCTGGTCCTTCTAATTTAGGGAGCTAGATGCAGAACAATAAGATAACATGAGGTTTTATTGTAAGGAGCACCAGTGTTGAAGCCATCGGTTACTTGGGCTTCTTTGCCTTTACCCCACCATCACCCAGAACTGGACCTGACTCCCTGAACTGCAGTGGTGGCTGCCTGGCCCTGCTAGCACATGTGCACCCCTCTGCTGACTCCACTGCATTTGGGGGAACAGGCTCAGCTGTAATGCTCTTGGCTACCTCCTGGAGAAAGGTAAGCTGAGTGGAGATACTTTGCCCTTTCTGGGGAGGTACCCACTTTTAAAAGATATGTTTTGGCAAGTGCTACAGGACATCACTTATCAAGCCTTGTGCCCTCTTGGCATTAACACAGCACTGCATGGAGATGTCCATCAACTGGCCCTTGTGGTATAGCACCTTCTTGTGGGAGGCAATTGTGTTGTCTGCAAGTCAGTTCTCCTGGACCTTATCACAATGAATCGACTCCCAGAGTTCGTCCCACCAGAATTCTGCAGCTGACACTCTGGGTCATGATGACTCCACCAAAGCCTCCATCATACTTTTTGGGGACCATTGCTGCCTGCAGCAAATATCGCTTGAGTGTTTTGCTGTAGTGTGAGCTGAGGTCTGAGGTTCGGGGGCATGTGACTGACTGGCATCGGGAGCAGCAGCTGGTAAACAAATGAAAAAAGTGTTCCTGGTTTGGTCACATATACTTCACTCAAGCGTTCAAGAGGACGATGATGAATCTTTACCACCACCACCACCACCCCCCTGCCACATCCCGCACTGAAAAAAATGCTTGCAGGCATGAAAACAAACCCTGTAAAAGTGGAGCACCGTTCACATTCCCCAAAACTTACAAGTCCCTGTTTGGAATGCGTTCGGCATCTGTTACATTACCAGTTATCCAACCCCAAAAGAGAATGGTGTGTACCCTTCATCCACCTCCAAAAGATCATGGAGAACCAACTCCAGCGATACATGTATTTCTCCCACCCACCCCACAAACCCAAATTAAATGAACCCGAGCAGTGCTTGCCAGTCACATTCCAAGATACTTACAAGTCACTGGCAGTGCATCTTCTTGGGTCTCAGAAACAAACAGATGTTTGAGTGCAGGGAGGAGAAATGGTATTGGAAGCGGTTTCTTCCCTCTTATCCTCCTTCTCCTTGTCATCTGTGCTAGTTGGTGGACTTAGAGAGGAAACTGGGGTCAAGGTCAAAGTGTATGGAGTGGTGGGGGGTGTCAAGTGGGGCCAGATGGGGAGTGGGGGTCACAGGGCCAGACGTGAGGCTCTGTCCTCTCCTGCCCCCTCTCCATCACTCTTGATGGACAATTTGTTAGTCTTGTAGTAAATGTTCATGGCACACATCTGCTTTGGCAACACAGCACCAACCTCCCACCCACTGGTCCACCTTCCTGCCACCACCAACAGCTGCAATTGCGAATCACTCGGGGCGGTACCCACTACTCTCACCCCTGTATATTTCTGATATGATATATACAGTTTTAAAAAATCCATACATACATTTATATTACTTTCCAACACGGGGGAGGGGAGGGAATTATGCACATGACTTGGCATTGGGATCACCACGGGATCGCCTACTGGAAACCAGGTGGAGCCTAGTGGGATGCAACTGGGGTGCGGGTGGCAGGATTTGGGGTGAACATGGCTTGGTGGGGGGGTGGAGGGTGCTTAGTGTGGAGTGGGGACTGTGGAGGCTGTGAGCCTCCTGCTGTAATTCAGTAGGAAAGACATTACTGGGGGTAGATTGGTATTTGGCTTCCCCTGCTGGAATTGTACATGGGACTTAATTAATTTGAAAGCGCAGTGCATGCAAACACAAACTCAATGCACATTTGTCTTCAGAGAGGGATTTAGGGATGATTTATAAGAATTTAAGTATATGGCTTTGTTATTATAATAGCTAATGTAGAGTAATCACTGTTATTGGAATGGTTATTATAGGCATGTGCTAATGCAGTACAGCTCTAAGGAAACAAATGTGAAAGCAACATAGTAGGCCTAAGTAAGTAGTGTCTTGATGAACCTTTCACAACAATTAAGAAATGATCAACGGATGGTAAGCTTCAGATGAAAATGAAACGCATACAGACTGTTTCATCACTTTTACCTCCATTTCCTCCTATACGTTTCAGCACTCTGTCACTACAGGGTTGTTTTTTTTTCTGGACTGGATTCTGTTATATATTCTAGACACGTTTAGTTTGGCATAGAGCCAGGCCCCATCCCCTGCCTACTCCCCCAGCCATAATCTTGCTCCAATAAAATGTTCACCTGAGCCCCTGTATCCAGTTTGAATGGAATCATTATCCCATGAACTTGCAGTGGCAGGATCCAATCCTTCTCAGTAGCTCTGCTTGATTCTACTGTATCTATATAATAATCTCCCTCTGGAGTAACTTCAGCTGTATGCATCTGGACTGTATGGACTTGTACCTTGCAACATTTGGAAAAATGATTATTCTTACCACAATTAAAACAGCTTTCCTAATGCAGCACATTGTTTGGAGCCATGCTGCATTCCACACTGGCTGCATGCTTGCCTGTACTCCATCTGCCCCTTAGTAGTAGTTGTGGTATCTGGGGCGACATCCATTTGAAGTGACCTTTTCTGTCTGTCTTTACTATATATTGCATGGAAAATGCCCTCAGCTGCATTCAGCTTTTTGGCCTGAGCCTTCACAGTTTCAGCTGCTCTACAAATCTGTATAATTTTTTCTACAGATAGGCCTCCTTCCCGTAGCAGCTTCTCTCTTAATCCATTGTCTATAATGCCACAAATGATTCTATCCCTGATCAGAGAATCTGTTACATCCCCAAAAAGACAGGTCTTACCAAGCCTTTTTAACTTTATGATATAGTGCTCTATATTTTCATCTGGTTTTTGTGCGCACATAAAAAAAGTATGTCTTTCAAAAGTCTCATTGCATTTTGGCAATCTTCTTCAAATTTATTTAATATCTCATTTAACTTCTTGTTTTGGCCTGGAGCAAATCTAAAGTTGTTGTACACCTCAAGCACTTCTTCCCCTACCACATGCAGGAAAATGGATGATTCAACTTTATCAGTTTTCTCTTCTGCTTCTATAGCAAATAAATTCAACTCAAACCTTTATCTAAATTTTCTCCAATTCTAAGCTATATCGCCTGACAAAGGAAGGCACGAAGGGGCTTGTAGCGCATCCACGTTTAACTGTGTCTCTGAGCTGGTTACACTTCTGCCTTGCAGAGGCCCTAAATTACCAGCTTTCTGCTAGGGATAACACTGCAGATCCATCCAATCTTCCCCATTCACCACTCTGACACCATGTTATGATTTAGGTCCCGCAGTGAATAAGGACAACTATGAATGAGGAAGAGAACAGACCTTTAATGATACCACAGCATGGGGTTCCTGCAGTATAGACCAGGTGGCTGCCCCCATCTTAATTTCTCCTTACTCTCCAGGGATCATGTTCAAATTCCTCATGTGATAAGACATTCCCTTGTAAGGGACTGTCTCACAAGTCTAACCTTTATCACTACAGTTTTGGCCTCAAAGGAGATCATGTTTAGAGGCTCTTAAGATTGTTTATATACTTGTTTAAGTGGTATTCAGGGATGAACTCCTTAGAGGAGTAAGGCATTCAGAGGTCATGCTGAGTGCAAACAAGATTTTTAAAACATATTTTGTTTCTCCTAGTGATAACTGCACATAAATGTGCTGTCTCCAAAATGTGTGCAAATTTCCAGAATTTTTGTTTGTTTGTTTGTCTTTTTAATGCTTTACTAAGTTTCAAATAAAAGTGGCCCCTCAGTCCCAGCATCTACCAGGTAATTCTCCTGCTCGGGAAGTGCAAAACATATAGCATGGAAAAAAATAATCAGCAAGCTAATTTGTTTCTTTTCACACTTTGACAATGACCACTGAATTGCTAAAATCTGATACCATTTTGAGATGCATACAAATAAAGCTTTCAAAATAGTCAGGATAAACACTTTGTATCGAAGGTTTGGGATTTTTATGAGACTCTCAAAGAGTTGCAGGGAGAATCCACGTTGGACCTTTGACATCCTTCATTTAAGTGCTGCAACACCTTAATACAAATTACCTAGTCCAAGAAGGACAATCCAAGTAAAAAAGGATTAGGCAGCTAAACTCCCGGGGCAGTCAATAAGAAGAGTTAAGCACCACCACAAAGTGGGATTCAGAGAGCAAGGGGAACCATATATAGCAGGTCTAATCTCCCACCCCTAGCACTTACATCAGGGCTACAAAGAAACTGTTTCAATACATTTAGGTTCCAGACCTTTGTCACAGTACTTACAATTGCCTGGATTGTTAGAGACCTAGGTTTTAGACCCCATTTCTCAGGGGGAGTTCAAATTCAAATATCCAACTTTGGGCTTTGTTATATGTTATACTTGTCATGTGTTAGGGCTTTGTTATACATTACACTGTGAACTGCACAAATGTTGATCAGTGTGGGCACTTGTACACGTAATGACAATTGCATGTTTTTATGGCTTCTGTCACATGTTACATGTATGGGGTTGTTTTTTATGATTTGAATGAGTTTATGTTGCAAAAAAACCCCACATCTGCATATTGTTTAGTTTGCAATGTAGCTACCTGTAACACTGCAGCCTTTAATCTGACAACTCACCCTGGCCATGGGAGAAGCAGGCTGAAGGCAGAAGTGGTAAGGGGCCTGATCCTTTTTTAAATTTTTTTTTGCGGAGCATGCCTACCACAGCTCAGAGGTGAGATGCCAGCAGGCTGAATGGCTCCTGAGCTTTGGGGGACCCTGGTCCTTCCCTTCATGGCATTATTGTCCCCTGGGGGTGCCCAAGCAGGCTGCTAGTGGGCCAGGGGCTACCCCAGCTTGGAGACTCCAAATCCAATGCTTCCTTGAGCCCTCTCGTGCTTCCAGCATGCTGTGCACTGTCTCTATCACCTTCCCTAGATGCCAGGACACACAGCTGCTCTCCCACTGCTTCCCTGCACTGCCCCAGGGGCAAGAAAGCCCATTATCAGATGGTCCCAGCTGGTGGGAAGGCAGCAGGGGCATTGCATGGGATGCTGCTCCCTGGGTGAGTTCAGAGAACAGTCGCATCCAGTGGGTGCTGCCTCTAAGCTGGGGAAATATCTGGCCTGCTAGCAGCCCGCTAAAGCAGCCCCAGGGTGGTGTTACCACCATGGAGAGAAGGACTAGGGCCCCCCGCAGCTCCGGGCCCACCAGCAGTTTGCCCCCCAGCCACAGGCAGGCTCTGCAGGAAAAAGAAAAAGGATCAGGCCTCTCCCTCCCCCCCACATTTTGTCCCCCAGCCTCAGTCCTTTCCTCCACAGTGGTGGCACCCCCTGGGGCTGTCCAGCACCTGCCAGTTCTAACTCTTCCCTGAGCTTGCCCAGGGAGCACCACGCTCTGCACTGTCCCCACCAGGGAAGAGGCTGCCTTGCCCTGGGGCAGTACAGGGAAGTGGCAGGAGGGCACCTGGGTATGCTGGCAGCTGGAGAAGGTTGTGGGGATGTTGCACACTGTTCTGGAAGCCCAGGTGGACATAGGGAAGCATTGGGTCAGGTGCTTCCAAGCTGGGGTAGTCCCCAGCCCACTAGCAGCCCACCTGGGTGGCCCCAGGGGTAGCCACTGTTGCGTAGGGAAGGACCAGGGCCCTCAACAGCTCAGGGGCTGCATGGTCTGCTGGCAGCTCGTCCCCTGGCCATGGGAGAGGTGGGCAGGGTCTGCAAAAAATAAATAAATAAATAAAAAAGGATTGGGCCCCTCACTGTAACAGTGATGGAAGACCCTAAATTGAACTGGTGGGTTTTTTTAAATAAAAACCCACCATTTCAATTTATGGGACTAAACCCCTATCATGTATACAAGCACTCCCTCATAATATCTACACTAGATGCTGACAGCACAATAGCCCAATGCTACTGCACATCAGGCTTTGAGGCGTCAGCAGAGGCTAGCATGCCTGCAGTTTTGACCCCGCTGTGGCTTAACACTTACACGTGACATGAGTTTTGCTTTCTAGACTTTGGGGTGCAATTTCCCAAACTCCCTATACCTATGTCCTTGAAGCTTGGAAGGATTTATGCCCTCAGAAGGGGCTACCATTCTTCCAAGTTTCATCAAAATCAGGCCAGAAATGACAAAGTTATAGGCTGTTTCAACCTTCCCCGTTATAGCCTATGGGCGAAACGTTAAAACAGGGTTGAAATGGTGAAATGTTTTGACTTGCCTCATTTTGTTTCGAGGCTGTTTCAACTATATCTATTTCATTTCAATTTTGCTGTTTTGACCTCAAAAAATGTTGAAACAGCATCAAAACAAAACTGGTGGAGAAATTTCACACAATCCTACTGTGCATGTATTTAGTACTGTATAAGCAAGTACTAAATAAATGCACGTTGACTGGAGTTACTGCACAGTAGTGCCGGTAAATGCCTTTTAAGTAATGCTGCTGTGCAGTAGCCAAAATATACAGCACAGTAGCCTATTAGTATTGTCTGTGCTGTGATGTGATAATGCATAGTATTGTTTGGCTACTGCACAGTTAATGTCTTGTATAGACATGCCCATTATATGGCTCAAAGTGATACCATCCCAATTATCTCTCATCTGTGCTACCCAGCTCATGTTACACTAAGGTATAGCTACTCTAGACTAACCTTAGTTTAAATACCCACACAAACCCCCACTCCTGCTGGCCTGGAGTGGGCCCACTACCCACCCCTGGGCCCCATCCTCCCTCACACTCCAGATCCCTGCTCACTGCTTCCCAAACCCTCTTGTCACCTGCATACTTGTGGCTGCCCATGCTGTCTGTCCTGGGGAGTGGACAAGGAAGAGGCATATCCAGGGGCTGCTGCATTACAGCATCCAGGTATGAAGGCTTCCCCTTCCCTGCCTACTCCCTGGGACAGACAACACAGGCAGCCACAAATAAGCAGGGTGCAGGGAGCTAGCCCTGGGGATAGGGAGGACACAGGGGAACCCTGGGGGCAGGGAAGTAGCCCAGAATGGGAGGGGGAGGGATTCTTACCTTTCATTCCTACAGGCCCCTGCTGGCCTAAATATATGACTGGTCAAAACTTGAGCTAGTACTAACAGGCCACGTATACATGAGATACGGACAGTGCAGTCATTACTGCACAGTCATTTAGTACTTGTATAAACAAGTACTAAATGACTGCGCAGTAACACCAACAAATGCCTTTTTGGTGATGCTACTGTGCAGTAGCCTAATACTACTGTGCAGTTGCATTATGCCATGGTTTTTGCCACACGACACTGCTGCACAGTAGTATTGGGCTACTGTGCTGTCAGCATCTTGTGTAAAGGCTTGAAATGTGAAACTGTTTC